AAACACTAAACCAAACTAGAATCCAGATGCAGAGGGAGAGGACAAGACCAGGTTGCAGAAACACATAGAGACAGCTGACTTGAACAAGGAGGACCTAACGGGCCCCCAGACTGATGGCTGGGAATCCAGCATGGGACTGACTCAGACCCCCTGAATATGGGTCTCAGCTAGAAGGACTGAGCAGTCTAAGGGATCTCAGACAGTGGAACCAGGATGTATTCCTGGTTCACAAAAGGACCTTGCGGACCCATCCCCCATGGAGGGATACTGCCTTAACCTAGAGACAGGAGAGAAGTGCTAGTCCCTACTTCAAATGAATTGACAGATTTACATGACCCCACCTGGATGTCATTGCCCCACATGTGGAATTGGGATGGGGGGATGGGAGGGGAGGGTGGTCAGTGTGCATGTGAGGGGGCAAGGAGGAAGGGAGGGATGGAAGAAGAGTAGGTGGGAGGGAGGGAGAGGGAACTGGGATTGACCTGTAAAATAAAAAATAAATTTAAAAAAAGTGTATCTCCTTGCACAGCACCTTCCACATTTATAATGGTGTTCCCTAAAGGAGGCATCCTTCAGATCAATCATAGGGTTTGGGTATCTACAGCAACAGGATCTCCCTCAATGTTCTTGCAGGTAAACAAAAACAATGGCATTAGCTTGTATCACTTCGGAGGTCTCTCAGAAAATCCAACAACTCAATTGGAGGTTTTTTTCCTAGCTGCCACTGGGTGGTTTTAGCTAATCTACAGGTCCAGGAGGGTCATTATCCCACTATATGGAGTAACTTTCCTACCACAATATAAGTGTTTCTATGTATTTAAAGTATATGTGTGTGTGTGTGTGTGTGTGTGTGTGTGTGTGTGTGTGTGTGTGTGTGTGTGTAGATTCTCAAGCATCCTTAGTATTCAAGCATCCTTAGTATTAATTATGTCCCTTTCCCTCTTCCTATGAATCACGCTCCCTCTTCCTTCTCTGTTCACTATGTATTCCTTTCTCTTGTTCTCTCTCTCTCTGTAATACTCATTTGCACTTCCTTAATAAAGCCCCCCCCCTACTTTCACTTTTCCATTCATAACACCTGTATTCTGTTATTTCCCTCTCCAAAGCTACATCTCCTCCTCCCACAATGCTCCCTTTTTACTTTACTGCTTCTATGGATACTCAAGGTAAAACATTCAGACAGAGAAGAGTTGGTTCTATGATCTTCAAATTATAGGATACAGAAGACATTTTTCTTTCTAGACCTGGATATCTTTCTTCACTAAGTATAATCTTTTTGAATTCCATCAATTTGTTTCATTTTTCTTTTAGCTAAATAGAATTGTATGCTGACATCACATTTTTGCCATGCATTAGAACGATAGCTAGGCTGATTCCATTTCTTAGCTATTCTGAATAGAATAGTAAGTAGCATAGTTGAACAAGTACACCTGTAATTGGATATCAAAAGTCTTTCCAGTATATGCCAAAGAGTGGTGTAGCTCATTCATGTAGTATATCTCATCTAAGATCTCTTGAGAAATTTCCACAATGGTTTACAGAGGGGCTTTACCATAATGCAAGCCCACCAACACTGGATAAATCTTTCCCTTTGCATTCACCTTCACCAGCATTTGATGTAGACTATAGTGAAGGTTTGAGGGTTTACATTGTTTGATTCTTTGTCTCCATTATTTGTTGGAAACTGGGAATAAAATTTGTGAATTAACTTTTTCATGGCCTCTTACTTTGATAGTGAACAAATATTACAAGGTAACAAAAACTCAGAACTGATATTTTTAATTAGAAAGAATTTATACTCAACAGGTGACATGCCCATTTTTTTACAGTAAATGATAAATTTGAAGGTTCTACTATTTATTTTAATAGTGAAAAAATAAAGTGTCTCCCTTTATAATTAGACTGGTAGCATGAATGTTATCTGTGGTAATGGAGGTGGTTACACATTCCTAAACTCATAATCGGGTTAAGTCCTAAAACATTAGTTTGGAAAATCCCTCACCGAGTAAAAAGGAGTACTGCAACAGGTAGGACATGAAAATCTATTGCACCCCATGAAAATATCTGCAGAGAAGCTGCATGGGATTTATGGGGACCAGAAAGACTGCAGCTTGAATGGCTGATTGTGAGTTTTGTCACCACAGCACCCACATTCTGTTCTTTGGAAGCTCACTATGATTGCAAAGCAACTCTGTGCTTAAAGAAAATGTCCAATAAACCAGAAACAGCTCTCATCTGTAGGACTCATGATCATGACTGGTTTACAGCCATGGTTACTACTCCTCTGGCATGCCAGGGCAGCACTAGACGCTGGAGAAGAAATACAGGTCACTGATCATGGACTGCCTGTCCCAGTGCAGCCTGCTGAAAGAAAACAGAGTCAATGAAGGCAACATGGTGCTACAGGAGGGTTGTACTTCATTGTGGGATGTCTGAAGGAACATAATTCACTAGCAGAATCTGGGCATTGCTTTTGGTCCTGGCTACACAGCCCTTAACTACTGTGCATAAATAGGAACAGACACTGCATAGTCTGTCCCTACAGCCCTGGAGCAGGAACCCAGTGGGTTAGGGGCTTCATGCCCTGCATGACAATGAAACTGTCTCTGCAGTATAAGCCACAGGAATCTCCACACTGGACATGCAGCTTCAGTCTAGCTCAATAAGGGTGCTGTCATCCAAGATTTCCTCCTCCTTCTCCCTTTCCTTCTGTTCCTCTTCTTCTTCCTCCTCCTGCTCCGAGGAGGCCATGAGGCTGCTAAGCAGGTCCCCAAATCATGATGTCCTCTTTGGCAGCTCACCAAAGAAGAGCCTGTAATTATGTTGCGATTTTCTTTGTATGTGAGATCCCTCCCCAGGGAAGGCTGATTCTGCTCACTGTAATCCAACATACATGCCACAGTCCCCAGCCAGTGAGTGGCCCATCATCCATGGATGTGTGCTTCTGTGCATATGTTGTAAAGACCACCAGTGTACTGTTCTTGTTTTTCAAACTGTAGCTCAGCCTGGGCCATGAACATATCCACCTCTTAGTCCAAAAGCCTCAGGTATGCCTAAATGGTATGTGTGGCTTTTAGTCAAACATTTCAATTTTTTTCAAGAGACATGAAACCACAGCTCTGACTTTTGTTTCCTCTGACATTAGGCACTCAACTGTAAAAGATCTTATTGGCTGAACTTGCTCAGAATGGTCTTTGAAGATCACACATGCACATGGGTATATATAAATAAGCCAACATAAGTGAACTAGGAAGAGGCTGAAATGGGACAGATCTTGGAGGATTAGCAGTGACCCACTAAATCTGAGTTGTGAAAGCAGGTGATGGTGCAGAGTACAAGACAGGGCATCGACAGTGACTCGGGAGACAAAGCTTGTCTGAGGAACTGCTTGCAATTAGCACATGTGAAAACATGTGGGATGGTTCAGACACAGAATTTCATAGAATTATTCTCTGTCAGTAAGATGCACCAAGTAGAGAATGGTATTCCTATATTTAAGAGAACAGTGCCAACTTCAAAGGATTCCCTTTACAAGATAAGTTCAATGTGAAGAATTAGGATATAGAACAGACTAATTGCAGCCGTTGTTGTATGTTTTATTGCATTTTATGACCACTTAGAATCATTGAATGAAAACTAGAAGATATTGTGAGCAGAAGCTGCTTCAAAGACATTAGAAGACATTAGTGTACATGCAAGCTGTTGCAGATGTGAAGAAGGAGCAAGGTCCATGATGCTGAGCTTCTCTTGTCTCTGTCACCAAAGAAACACAGTTGTGCCACAGCTGAATGCAATACTATCACTTCCCTCACCAGTCACAACTCACAGGTGTGCAGGGTGCCTGTATTACTTGATGCATATTTAGATTCCCACAAACAGCTGGAGTCTTCTGAAAATAGCCCTGAGGTCACAAGCAAAGAGACCACCACTTCCGCTAAAACATCTCACCAAAGTCAGCTCTGATCAGGGGGGTGGATGCTCACAGAAATGGCAGTGCAAGCACACCTGGACAGCAAGGCCTCCACCTTTGACCCCTGACCCAAGGAGGAACTGGGTTTTTCATATTAGCTGAGGTCCAACTTCACTGTGTATTCCCTTTACAGTCTCTTATTGCAGGGAACTCAAGCAAAAAGATCTGTAGAATTTGGTAACATTCTGAGAATCCCACAGAGACAACTGATCTGACTTGTGGGAGCTCACAGACTTGGGATGGACAGCCGAGAGAGAGCATGGGTCAGACATAGGTCTTCTGCATCTGGGTGACAACTTTTAGTTTGGTCTTTAGCGGGGCCCCTAGCAGTGAGCTGGCTCTTTGGAATCTATTACCTATGTTTGGATGCCTTGTTCAGCCTCGATGTGGGGGGTGGGGGAGGAAATTGATCCTGTCTCAGCCTGATTTGTTGAATTCAATGGGAGGCCTTACTTCATCTCAGTGAAGAAGTAGATGGAAGCAGGGGTGAGGTGGAGAGAGTGAGCAGGAGGAAAGGAGAGAGTGGAAAAAGTGGTTGGTATATAAAGTAAATAAAAATGATGGAAGAAAGAATCCGATCACTTCACACATACAGTCAGCAAACAAGAGAAATGTCGATATGTGCAATTAATTGCTAGCTTGTACTCAGCTCAACTTCAATGTTTCACAGTTCAAGACAGGTTGCCTAAACAATGGTGCCACATGAAGTGGTTTTCGTGCATCACATAGTAAAACAGTTCCTCAGGTCACTCCAAAGTTGATGAACTCCACTTTGAGACTCTCTTCTCAGGATGCCTACATTGTGCCAAGTTGTCAACTAAAGCTTGTCATCACAATATCATTATCATAAAAGGTATTGAAATAAAACTCTTCATGGATTTAGATAATAGTTTTAATTATCTTCTCTACATCAAAAGAGACCATGCATGCTGACCCTAGGGAAATGTAGCCATTTGGTAAGAAGACAGCAGGTATAAAGTCATACCAGGGTATTTATGTTCTACTTCCTGATCTGCATGTGTCATTGTGGAAATGAGTACTATACCACAGAGCACAGTAATACACAGCCTCATCCTCAGGCTGGGCCCCTGTGATGGTGAGGGCAGCCTTGTCTCCAAGCAGGGAGCCTGAGAATCTGGCAGGAACACCTGGGGCTCTATTGCTAGTACTACCTATCAGACCAGTGTGCACTTGATGAGATTTTTCTTGGATCCAGTTGGCATAGTTACTAGTGGTAACTGCCCCAGTACTTGAGCCACAGGTGAGTGTGACTGTCCCTCCAGGAGTTGTTGTGAGTGAAGATTCCTGAGTCACAACAGCTTGGGAAATAATCCCTGAAAACAGGTGAGAAATCAGTTGGTCAGTCACAAAGCAGAGACAGATGTACACTGTCGCATACCCACTCCAGCCTGGAAAGGCTGCCTGACCTGTGCAGTGAGCCAGAAGTATGATCACAAGAGAAGTCCAGGCCATGACTCACAGTCCAGGTGTGTTCTTTCCAAGATTGCTCAGCAAAAGGCAGCACCACAGTGCTTACTATAACTCCTAATGTGGGAAGGGGTGTGCACATTTATGCAAATGAGCTCTTATTCCAGATTGCTATATTATGTCAGTGAAAGTTATTGCATTGACATAAGTCACTGATCACATATTTATAAGAACAAAGGTCAGGAGCATGATTGGTAAGCTGCTTTTGCTTTTCTAGAGCTAAAAGTATCTTCTGTCTCATGACCTATAGTCCTCATCAGGCAAGTAATGCTCCACCAAGTTTTACCTTACAGGCAGTGAGACAGGAAAATATAAAGGAATAAAAAAAGGAAAAATGACCAAAGTAATGCAAAGAGCTCACAGTAAGTAAGGTGAGTATGGGAAAATGATTTGAAGTTCATCTGTTTCTTCATCACACTTTTCACTTCATGGAAGATGATTGTGTATAGTATAATGATTCTAAATCATTATATCAAATCACCATGATGCCTCATTACAAAAGTACTAGAATAAATTGGTGAATGGAAAGACAGTAAGCAGAATCTGACAAGAGTGCAAAGCAAATGGATCTCTTGTGCACTACTGGAAGTAGCAAGCATTTCAATTAAAAAAAACAGTACATTTTAGAGTTTGTATTCTTTTTTCTTTTTGTTTTCATATTTTTCATTTATTTGTTTATTTATTTATTTATTTATTTACATATCGATCCCAGTTCCATTCCCTCCCTCTCTTCCTGCCTCCATCTTTTCCTCTTTCCCCCCTCACATGCATCCCAACCACCCTCCCCTCCCACTCACCCCCACTCCACATGTAGGGTGATGCCATCCAGGAGGGGTCATCTAAATCTGTCAAGTCATTTGAAGTAGGGACTAGCACTTCTCTCCTGTCTCCAGGTTAAGGGAGTATCCCTCCAAGAGGGATGTGCCTGCAAGGTCCTTTTGTGCATCAGGAATACATCCTGGTTCTACAGTCCCTTAGACTGCTCAGGCCTTCTAGCTTAGACCCATATTCAGGGGGTCTGATTCAGTCCTATGCTGGGGATCCGTTAGCTCCTCCTTGTTCAGGTCAGCTGTCTCTATGTGTTTCTGCAGCATGGTCTTGTCCTCCCTCTCTGCATCTGGATTCTAGTTTGGCTCAGTGTTTAATTGTGGGTGTTTGCTTCTGTTTCCAACAGGTACTAGATGAGGGCTCCATGATGGTGGATAAGTTAGTCATCAATCTCATTATCAGGGAAGGGCATTTATGGTAGCCTTTCCACTGTTGCTCAAATTGTTAGTTGGAGTGAGTCTTGTAGGTCTCTAGACATTTCTTTAAGTTCAGTTTTCTCTTCAACCCTATAATGGTTCCCTCTTTTAGGTTCTCTCTCTCTCACCATCTCTCTTTTCTGCCTTCTATTTCTCCCCGACTTAATCTTTCTTCTAGTCCCACATGCTTTTTTTCACGTGACTTTCATGTTTTTCAAGTTAATGCAGTAACACATGGAAATATTAATACAAGGCAGAATTGTTCATGGTTCAGATAACACAGATGTATGTACATAACAAAGAATCCATAGTATATCTGTATAATGATTCCATGCACAGAAATTGGAAAGGATCAAGTACATATACACACATACACACAAACATACAGCTGTTTTGTGACCACCTGGAGATTGTAATTTTGGAGTGTTAAGTGCCTGTTCCTGAAATGATGGGATGGAGTGTTAAGAAACAATCAGATGACTGAATTCAAGCTTGTTTGGATGAATATACAGGTGAAAATGTATGGTAATAGGAACAATCTAGTTTTCATTTTGTTAAATAATATATATATATATATATGAATGTGTATGTATGCATACATTCTCAAAAATAAGCATTTTATATAAATTATATGTGTGTGCCCTTGCCAAATTTTGTCTCTAACATAGGTATACATTTTTATAACAATTGGACATGAATAAAATACTTTTAAATATATAACAATAAAATTCTCAAAAAGAATGATACCAAGCCCATTTTGGAAATACTTTACCAAAGATTGTTGATTGGCATAAGCTTACCAAAACAGAAGAATATGAATAATTTGCCATTATTTTGATCTATATGATACATAATTACTTCTGAGACAATGTCAACATTTAAAGTCAGGATCTGGGACTCATGGCAGGAAAGCTCTGACTGGTGGACAGATAACAGATAGAAGGCTCTTTTATCAAAACCAGAACTAACTTTCTCATGAAACAGAGAATATAAGATATGGAGTGGAGACTCACAGTAAATAAAGAAGGAAAATGACAACTGAGCATATCAAAAATAGAGCACTGAGTGTGGAGAAAACATGGAGATGATAGAGCATCCAGTACTCAAGTATTTGAGAATCAGATTCCTGATTTGGATGTGGTCACAGATAGGCACTGCCCCCATCTTGTGTAGTGAAAAAAATAACACTTTCAGCCATGCTTGATACATGAATAATTCTGTGATCTAGTGCCCTAGTATATACAGAAGATGTTTTGAAAGGAAGTACATCTCAGCGGTGGGGAGGTACAAGGAGGAGTGACTGCATTCTGGGCCTGAGCCCAGCTTTGCACAAGTCTTCTACATAGCAAAACATGGAAACTGATGTGATTTGATAGTGGTGACAGAGTTAGTGACAATGCTGAGCTTGGCATCTTAGGGAAGTGGTTGTATCATTAAGCCCTGGGGTTGAAGGAATACAGTGTGGCCTCTGCTTTGTGATTCATCATGTCTGGCTTCTAATGGTTATGCTAACATTGCTGACCCTAATGGACACTCATGGTAATGACCTCAGAAAAAAATGACATGTGGACCTGTATTGATTATCAAGTCTCCCTGTGCTTTCTTGGGAATCCATAGTGTATCTTTTGTTATAGAACAAGCTTTTAGTTTCTTATTACTTGTTCATAAAATTCTTACTACCTTGATGCCCCATAAGAACTGAGTGAAGCAATGTGAAGAGATACAGGGGTGTGAACCACAAATGTTTCTTTTCCCATTTCAATAACTAAAATGTTGTGATAAATATTTATGGGTTACATTAAGATCAGTTAAAGAGTAATAATATTCAGCCTCATCCACAAGATGTTCTAGGCCTGAGCAACACCCTGGTAATGTCCAAGGAATATTTGGACACAAACAATTGGATAGGTCCCCCAGAGCCATGAGAAATTATGTCAGTGTGGTCCTGCAGGAGATTTCAGAATGGATTGGAATTCTGCTGGAAGCAGAGAAGCAGAGTTCCCACACTGAAGCCACTGCCCAGCTGTAGGTCAGTGTGACAGATACTCCAGCTGAATCAGTATGAGCAAAATAAGCTGCAAACAGTATGAGGACAACTACAGTAGAGACTGGAGCAGACTTTCCCATGGATTGCTGGCCAGGATGGACAAGGCTGACTAGGAACTGAGACTTGCTGATGCACATTCCTACCTGTGACTTAAAGGGAAGAACATGAGGAAGGGCACAGACCCTTGCCATGGGGTGTCCCAGTATCAGGTCTCATTGTGTACCCTCCTTATGCCAGACACAAACCCTTTCCTGCCAATGTGTTTCCATCCATGATGGCCTCTGCTCCTCCCTCAGCATCAGTGCTGATGCTAAGTTCTCACACACTTAGGATGGAGGTTTGTTTATGGCCTCAGGACCTTTCTGGGGGAAGTACCTGCTAAGCAAGGTAGTCTTCCAGGCTGCAGAAGATGCAGAGCCTGATTACTAGTCAGTGAGCAAATGTCATCTCTTTTGTGTGTTACACCCAGCCTATTATGAGTCATGGGGAAGGAGTGAGACAACACTATGGGTTCTAAAAGTTTAATTTTATAATTCACTACCTAATCAGGTTACTGATCAATCAGGGCTGCAGGACAGGACTCCAGAGACTTCTTCACCCTGACAGCCCCAAGCAGGATCAGAAATGGGGTTTGTTAGCATAAAATTCACAAACATTTATTGCCACAGTACTGTTACAATTTTCCCTGATCAGGCATAGAGATTAAAGGCTTTCTTGAGTGGACTACCATTACCAATCAATACACAATGAAAGCTTTTCAATCCAGCCAAACAGATTAATTTCTTCTTTCAGTTGTCAGGGACAGCCAAAATGTTTTTAAAGAACTAAAGATGCATCACCACTATTTTCATGCTTAGGGAGGAGTTTGATCAGGTATTGGAAAGTTCTAGGCTCCCCTAGGTTTTGGGAACCTGAACTTTATTTTACCCTAAAGGTCTGAAGTCAAAATGGCAATACTATGGCCTAGATGCTTTTGCTGCTCCCTTTATATACCAAGGCTCCCTTGAGGAAATGGCCTTTAGTGAACAGTTTACTGTATACACAGACTGCCCTGCTGTGACCCCTGCTGATTACAAAGTCCAAAATCACCAGAGCCAAGAGGCTATCTACATTTTGCTGGTCATCTGATCTCTTAGTCTATTAAGCATCCATAGACTAATTTCTAAGTTGTGTGTATCTTATATGCTGTGCATTATTTTGTAATTTCTCACAAACAAGAATGTTCCTCCCTGTGAGTTCCTTCTGCTGTAGGTAAAGTAAACATAAGCTGTTAACAGTCTTCCACTACCTGGTCCTCAGCTCTCAGAGCAGTTACACTGTGAGATGCAGATTCAGGGAGGCCCTCTGTGCTGTGGATTCCCCCTGGGAGGAAGCAGCTGATATAACACTGTAACTGGCCAAGAGCAGTAGTACATGGTCCAGTGAATTTGAATACTTGAGTCTCTGAAACTTTTGAGAAGGGCAGCAGTACCCTCTGCTGGATTCATTATTCTCAGGGTGGGGCTCATTCACTGAAACACTGTTTATTTTTTCAGGCAGTCTATTTTATTTCTGAAACTGACTCATAATCATCACATTTCCTCTTTAATTCTTTTATTTTACAGTTATTTCTCTCCTTTTTTGAGAAATCATTCCCAAATTTTTAGATTGGGAATTTTATCTACAAATGAAAGGACTTCTGTTTAGAGGAACAATTTACATGAGGCTCTTTTGCCAGATACTTTATCATACT